TTCCTTAAAGAGCATGGAAAATCCTCTTGCTTCATGAATTGTCCCCATAAAATATAAAAGAAGTATGAATTTTTCTCCATTACAGAATAGAGGAAACAAGATATGGTAAATATCACTGTGCTGCGCTACACTCACTCAGTCTTCAATCAGGTGGATGTGGATCTAATAAAACATATATTTGTAAGCACGAGCTTTAGAAGTAAAGCACCTGAGTTTGGAGTCATCCGGGTAATATTATATTTTGTGAAATGGAAATAATATTATGATTGCATAAGTCAATGAATTGTAATTTGTTTAATAATGAAAAGATATTCAAAAATAGTATTTGTAGAATAATACACACACCAGAAAGAACAGGATATTGTTGCTTTTGTGTCTGGCTTTTTGTTTTTTGATTTTTTTTTTTTTGCTCAACATTCTACTTGTGGCATTCAAGGGTTCTAAAAATTGCATGTTATGTGACTCTGTCTGTATGAAATATCAAGAATGGGCGAACCCTTGCAGACCGAAAGAGGAATAGTCATTGTCAAAGGGTAAGGAGAAGTTGGACTAGGAAGTGACCACGAATTGCTACATTTTTTCTTTTTGAAGTGATGAAAATTTTCCAAATTTTGGAAATACTTTGGTTGTAACTCTGTAAATATACTGAAATTAACTAATTTATACACTTTAAATAGATGGAATTTATTCTATCTACATGACATCTCAATAGCAGTTATTTGGAAATATCTCTCCTGCAATTATGTTTGGGACTGCATCATTCTCTAAAGTCATATTCAAAGACTAGGCCTCCATATAAAGTTAACTTTTCCAATCAATATCATACTATGTGCAGCAATGTATTAGGTTTTCTTTAATTTCTTTCTTTCATATTTTTTATTGTTTGGTATTGAAGTCATACAGAAATATAGATATTTTACATTTATGCCTTTGCAAATAGCAACATCATTTTAAAATTTCCTTTAGTTATTTTGTTGCTGTAAATAGAAATACAATCGAGGTTCATATGTTGATCTCATATCCAGTTACTTCATTGATTTTATATATTAATTCTACCACTTCAGGTATAGGACTTTCTGGATTTTCTTCATAAATAGTATTTCCTATAATAATCACACTTTTATTTTTTCTTCCAGGTACCATAAATTTTTTCTTTATTTATTTTCACTGTCTAGAATTTTATTTTCAATGATGAAGAGAAGGTACAATAATGGTTCTATGTACATCATATGTATTATTTCCTGTTTTTGATGAGAAGATTTCAACATTTAATATTTTTGAATTTTCTTATCATTTTTGCATATTCA